GAACTCCATAGGTGTTTTTCTGTAATTGCACTGGAGGTTATATTAATCTTTTAGAAGTGCTGTGAGACCTCATTTTGTAATTTGTATGGTAAATAGCCCTTTTGAGTGAGTGTCTCTTTTTACTGTTTTCTCTCAGGCTCCTCATGCTGTGTATTACATCCCCGATTACATAACGGAAGCTGAAGAGGAGTATTTGCTTCGTCAGGTATGATGTGCTCCAAGGGAAGATCAGCTTAGAAGACGTGTTCTAAAGCCTATGCTAAATAGCTTATTGGCCAGATTCTGGATGGGGTGGAAGGGGTGATGCACGGTCTGAGGGATGTCCCCCCTTTTTTCAATATAAAAGAATATTCTTTTAGATTTTTAAAGCAAAGTTGCAGCAGGCCTTTCCCCTCCTGTCAGGTACACCTCCCTTATGGTCCAGCAGTCTGTGGGGTGGCCTCAGTGGTCAGATGCTTCGTGCCGCAGGTGAGAGGGGGTGAGATCTAAGTTTAGCAGCCTGCATACAGTATACTGTATATGTTTAGGCAGTAGCCTACTTATTTCTCTGAGTAAAGGTGTTAAGTCATGTAAGCAATTAAAAAGGACCTGAACTCTAGAAGCTGAATAAAGGCAAGCGGAGAGCAATGGACTAGTCACCAGTACTGCCTGCAGCTGATCTCTTACCCATTACTGTCTTTCAATGCCTTGATCTGCACCTGTGTGTAGGTGGCTATTCGGATAGAGGCATAGGGCTTTGCCCCCTCATATTGGAGCTGTCTCTTTGATAAGTGGTGATCTGATGACTGGAGGCAGGAGAGATGGCGAAAGTAGAAATCCATAGAGTGGATGAAGCAGAAGCAGAGAGATGCATGTGAGCAGCACAGTAGTGCTTTATCTAAATCTCCTGAGACCAGCCAGGGCAACGGTGCCTTAGATCTCACACTGCAGATATACAGCTATGAAGCTGTAGACACAGGAGTACTGAGGTATGCTCACATGTCAGTAGGTGCTCTGCTATATTTTTTAGGAGTAATTCAAGAAAAACCTTTTTTGAGTACTGCTTCGGCATATTTACCATTTCTTGGTGCTGCCTATAACATAGCAAATCTTCACTTTTTTGAGTACAGACTCCGTTTATTAGAGCTTATTGTACTTCCAGTTTTACTTTATGTAACCTTGTAAGAAAACCATTGTTTCTTGTTGTTTGATATTCAGAATGTCTTCATGTCATCTTGTCAGGTCTACAATGCTCCGAAGCCTAAATGGACACAGTTGTCTGGAAGGAAATTACAGAATTGGGGTGAGTAATATTACTGCACAAGTCCTATCATTTTTACTCCTTAATTTTCTATATTTCAACACTGACATCAATAACTAGCATGTTCTAATTATTCTGGAGGTGACAAGACTATAAACTACAGACCAGCTACGGAAATTAAGCGGCAAGCATTTACTTAAAGGAGAATCACCAGGTGAGTGATTTACACTCATCCTCATAGTTAGAGCCGACGTGTGACATTGAAACTATCACACGTTGGCTCTATTGATCAGGAAGTGAGCGAACACGTACCGTACCTCGCGGATGGGGGAGAGGGCGGGCGCATCTTGTTCTGCCACTAGATAGGCAGAGCCAGCTGTCAATCAGCTAGCTGGTGTGGATCTCGGCCGTATTGTCGGGATCCATCCCGGCTGTGGCGCTCTCAGTATATCGCGAGCAATAGCCCACAATATACTGAGCTTTGGGTCACGGGAGGAGTTTAGTATATGTCCTCCCGTGACCCAAAGCTCAGTATATTGCGGTCTTAAAGAGAACTATGGGGGGAAAAAAGGTTACCCCATAGTTCTCCTTTAACTGACAACAGATGACAGGTTACAGGAAATAGCAGTCTCCAGCCTTGTCGATGTGTCAGCAGACTCTTACTAAAACAAGATTTGCTTTGTTAGACAGTTCCTTTGTGAATTCTTTTTATGGCTTTAGTGCAATCCAAGAAAGGTTAGGAAATCTGATCTGCGCAATGGAATAATTATAATCCAAGATAATAGCTTGATATGAAGATAAGATATTAATCTAGCAGTGCAGTTATATTTAGACTTAAGAGTAAAGTGGAGGTGAGACTATGTACAATGTCTAACTCCATGTTTCAATCGGAATTAATATCTTTCTGTGATTTCATTTGGGCTTCATTATTAGAGTTAGGCCAAATCCTAACGTTAGGTTAACTGTCTGGAGAGGTGAAGCATTAATGGCTCAATTTAAGGTTTAGATTTGAAATAGAACTAATAGCACCACCCATTCATATGTAAATATCACAGGTGAGACTATTTTCAGTGGGGGGGCCAGTAGCCCCTATCTTAATTTTGGTTGCCCCTGTCTGCCTGACATCTTGTGTCTGGGTTTCTGCTGCCATGAAACCCGAACACAGCATTCAAAACCCGGACTGTCCGGGTGAATACTGGACAGGTGGCAACCCTACCGGGAACAATATTGTCAGGATCCACCTCACTGCCTGAGTGACAGCTGACTCTGCCTCTCTAGAGCCCACCCCCTTCCCTGCATGTGTCTCTCCAGTGAGTACTAGAGGAACATAGAGAGAGGAGGGGGAAAGCTGTGAGCTGAGCGATCAGTGGTTTGTGAACACTCAGCTCTCGGTATATAGAGCCAACATGTGACAGCTGCAGTGTCCCTTGCTGGCTCTAAATCTTGGGAAGAGTATACTGTACTCCCCCAACACCTCTCCTTTAAGTGTTGGGGTTAAATGCTGGGGGAGGTTAAAAGTTAAAGGAAACCTATGCTGAGACACCCATGTTTGACCTCCTTCTGTAGATGCATGGCTATTTCTGGCTCAGTACCTCATGCCATACCAATTACTGATTTAGATCAAGCATTTGGTTTAAAATAGTAACGTGAAGTCAAAATGTAGTAGCCTTTAGATCAGCTAGACAGCCGGTCCACTGGCATTGAAATGGAATATCGGGAATTACAGCCTTTTTTGAGGTTAGGTTTTAGGGATTAGGTTAGGAGTTTAGGTGTTGGGAGGGGGGGCGGGTGTTGTAGAACTTTGTGCTCCCGCTGCTGAAAACAAATTACCAAGTTTCCCCACGAGCACTTTCAATGACATGTCCCTACCACAGACACGTTAAGAGTACTTGATATACCAGTGTGGTGTTTTCTGGATAGTGCAAGGATACTTGATTATCTAGTGGACACCCACACAGCGAAGTTGGTTTCCTGCATGCACATGCAAACTTCATGTAGTAAGTTCCCCTGCTGTATACTGGACCTGCGGCACCAGTACTTTAAGGCCTTAGTACTATCTACAATACTGTCCTTTTGCTGATGATCATCTGTGATTTGTCTTGGATGACACCTAATCACTGCACACTCAATTGTTATTACCAGTTGGATTCAAGCTGTCTGTTCTCTGACTGAACACATAGTAGCTGCCTCCAGTGTATGTCCAAGGCAGATCAATTTTTGACCATGTTTGTTGCACATTGCTTTTTTACTTTATTGAACAATCTCCCAGTCCTGAGACAGTCAGCCATCTGCTTTGAATCTGTAGGGTTTCTAGAGCAAACACGAGACCTTCTGTAGCAGTTACTAGAGGCCTCGCGCCTCTTCTACCATGTAAGAATGTCTTTCTCCTGCAGGAGGTCTCCCACATCCCAGAGGCATGATGGCTGAGAAGTTGCCCCCCTGGTTGCAGACATACACCAACAAAATCTCTTCACTGGGTGTGTTTGGAGGGAACAGTGCAAACCATGTCTTGGTGAATGAATACAAGCCTGGAGAAGGGATAATGGTGAGAGTGCTATGAATACATGTCGAGTGAGAGCACAGTGTAACATGACTGTTGGGCTTGCACTGGAGTGCAGCTTGAAAATCAATATAACATTACAGATCATCTCTGCTTTAAGGGCTTGTTCGCATGAGCTGCAACCCTCAGCTGCTGTTGTGCCTGTGCCGTATAGTGCCCATGTGTTTGATCAAGCTGCATTGCATGGTTTTGTTTTTTGTTAGAACTTTATTGAAGTGTCACATGTGACATTTTCATTAAGTTTTGTGGGCTCACCCCAGTGCGAGGCAATTGTATCACGTCTCGCTGCGGGATGCTTAAAAAGAAAAGTGCTGCATGCTGTACTTTTTTTTAACCACCGAAACGCAGTAGTGTGAACTGTCACCATCCATGACCAGGCAAATTGCCTTGTTTTGTGTTGGGGCTGTGCTGGAAACAACGGCCATCGTGGTATGAACCCGGATGGTGTGAATTAACCCTAATGCATAGTGAGTACATAGCCTTGCTAACACCATGACCTCTATGCAATTACTTAATGTGTATTGCTTGTCTTGCAGCCACATGAGGATGGTCCCCTCTACTATCCCACTGTCACCACCATCAGCTTAGGGTCACACACAGTGCTGGAATTCTATCTGCCACTGGATAGAGGATGCCCTGAAGAGGAAGACCAGGTAAAGGAAAAAAAAGCTTTCTTAATTAAGTTAGTTTTACTGGCTAATTAAAGTTTACAAATAAATATAGTATGTGTTACCCAAGATGTTATTTACAGCAATAGTAATTAATTTACCTTAGGGCCAATTCATGTCTATTAACCTTAAAAAAAAGATTGGAAAGAGTTAAATCTTTTGTCAGCTTTTAATTGCTGTCGGTGTCCCTCTTAGGAAGTTTTCCCTGATCTCCTGCCCCTATGAGACTAGGACAGGGAATTAGGAGGACAGTGATACCCAGTGGTTTTGCCAGTCCCCTTGTGTAGGAAGCCCTTCCTGATAACGGTAAGCACAGAAGCAGATCTGTCCTAGCATAGTCAGTATACAGCCCCACTTTCTCCCGTAAGGCGTAAAGGAGGGTATGCTGACGCACAGCATGCCGGTAGTCTTTTATCCTTCCTCTCCGAGCTCTGTACTATGGGGGCCCTGCTTGACTGACAGTTGTTCCCGCCAGTAGCTGCTGTCACAACATGTTGCACATTCAAGGGAGAAATCTCCTTCCTCACAGCACAGAGCTTTGGAGAGGAGGGAGAAATGGCAGTGTACATGCCTCCTCCTCCCTCCTTGACATCAGTAAGCTGAAATCTGTGCCCTGTGCTCCACAACTAAAGGGCAGGAGCAGTGTTAGCTGTAACATGACCGTGGAGGGAAAAAAACATATAAAAAAAGGTATTTGAGTTGCAATTTTTCATTCATTATCTAGTATAGAGTGAAAAATCTGACATAAGCACTATTTTGCCCATTTTATATATGTTGCCTTTTCTGATTGTATAAAATACATTTGAACTAGTCGGTAGAATAAAATTAAATGTGACTTTATTACAGCACATAAAGTTCACTAGAAATGCGCTTTTGAACTTGCTAGAAAGGTTGAGAATCAATTCCCTCCTTGTACACCATAGCCCTCTCCTCTTCTGGGAGTGCCAAATTACTGTCCGCTCCTCCGAAACTTTTATGTAGCTGGCAGTGCGAAGTTGAATACTATACATTGTCCCTTGAGTGACAGCCCTGAGGCTGCTGACATCACAAACTAGATGGCATCACCCAGCAGCAGTCCTCGTTCTTTTGTATGTCTACACAACAGAGGCTTTTGCAGATAAATAACATATGTTAAATGTGTATATATTCTGAGAAGATTGTTGAAAGTAATGGTGCGGAGACAGGGTCTCTTTAAAGGAAAAGTTGTTTTGTTGCAGTCTCTTTCCCCACTGAAGAGACTTCCTATTACCTCCTGTCACCAGGATGGAAAGTGGGGGGTGGGAAGGTGGGGAATCTCGCCTGTGGATACACAGAAAAAATAAGTCCGACAGGTTTTAATTCTTCCCCACTTTGTCCCCAATGTAAGTAAAATTGCTGTTGGGATTTAATGACACTCTTACCTATATTTTCCTGTCGGTCTGTGTAGCCACAGGGAATGAAGAGATTGGCCCAGTCCTTCCAGGTATGGGAATCATGTGACTGTCTCACCTTCCTCCCAGGTGGCAGCCAATACTATCACAGGTAGGCATGGAGAGAGGCCTTAGCCTTTGGACCTTACAATGGTCTATCTCTCTTTACTCTCTGCACCTAAATAGAGAATCGGGAGAACAAATTATAAGCAGTCTCTCTTTACTCTCTGCACCTGAATAGAGAATCGGGAGAACAAATTATAAGCAGTCTCTCTTTACTCTCTGCACCTAAATAGAGAATCAGGAGAACAAATTATAAGCAGTCTCTCTTTACTCTCTGCACCTGAATAGAGAATCGGAAAACAAATTATAAGCAGCTGGTGTGGCTGCCATTAAAATGAGCCTGTTGCTTTGCTGACACCGTGGTCACAGCAGTGCAGTTTGTACCATAGCCTGCAGAAAATCCTGAATTGTATTGTTTCACGCTACAAGGGAGTAAATAGTTATCTGTATTGTTTGCGTTACCTACAGCAACCATTTAGATTCTTTGTCATGTTGTACCTTGCACCAGTTTAATAGAAGGTGGAAGCTGATTGGTTGCTGTAGGGAAATCAAGAGTGTTTTTGGACACTTGACCCCTGTCATTTTATGAGAAGGCCTTTCTATGTTTACTGGTGTTAATGACATTCAGAAACTAGTAGTAGAGTGAGTGTCACCTGTAAACCCGTTTCTATGCCATAGTACCTGTAGCTCTCTTTTGTCTTCCAGGTTCCTAAAACAGAAGAACAGAGATATGCTCTCTCCCTCCTGCTGGAGCCCAGAAGTCTTCTAGTTCTTCGTGAGGACTTGTATAAAAATTACCTGCATGGAATTCATCCTCGCACCCAAGACACACTAAGCCATAGAGTGGCCAATCTGGAGAAGTGCATGGCACAGGCTGAGGAGACACTGGCCAGAGGGACACGAGTGTCACTGACTATTCGATACGTCCCCAAAGTCCTGAAAGCGGCAATCTTTCTGGGAAAGGGGAAATAAACAATGATGGCCGAGTATGTAGAGATGTTCAGCCTTAAAAATGGGGTGGGAGCTGGTCCTGGATGGTGCCTGGGCAGAAGCCTCCCTATACCAGCAGAGCAGAGGTCACACGATGGCCTTCATACAGGAATCATGTGAAGATGGCTTCCATTCATATAGCAAGAGGCAAGCATTGAGACAAGACGTAAAGCATTATTATACTGCCGTCACATGACATCACTCTGGAGCTCAGCATCCAATCAGTGCACTCCTAAGTGTCATTTACACACCGTATGCATCTGCCAGTTGGGATAATTATTTTATGCTTCCTTTAGAGCCTTGGTTCTCAACTGGTGGGTCGAGACCCAAAAGGGGGGTGCAACCACGTTTTCAGTGGGTCGCCGCATGCCTTCCATTTTTCTAGGTGAGAGGCTCCTCTGCCTTCCCATAGCGTAGCACTGTCAGTTCTCACAGCAAGCAGCCATTCATAATATGCTGCCCAGCTTGAGGTGGGGTGGGATGGGGCAATAGCTGTGAGAGAGCTCCATCCATATGTGCATTGCTTACAGGTGGACCTTACTCCTAAAAACATTTACATTTTTTTTTTAATGTATGAGAATGTCTGCCAGTGTTTTTGAGAGCCCTGCCGTGCATTCGGGTGTGGGAGATGTGTTGCGTTGCCATTCATTTCAATAATACGCCAAACGCACCTCCCACCAACAGTTTGTACACCGCAACGGAACGCACGGTACCCTAAAGCCTTGCGTTCTATTGTAGTGAGACTTGGGTCGTGACTTAAGGACCAAGGACAAATGTGGGTCCTGAGGTCACGCAGGTTGAGAACCACTGATCTAGAGGAAGTTACATCAGAGTTGTCATGTTATTGCTGTTTGACCCCAATGGGAAGATTCACCATCTTTGTGTCCTGTTGATTATGTTCACCTTAAAGTAAGGGAAAAATCCCAAATTTTTACCATTGCTTCCTGAGGTGCCTGTGCCACAAGTGAAGATGATTCTCCTCTATGGGGTTTTAACTTCCCTGTCCTATCCAGAACAAAAAAGATTTTACCTTTTTAGATACACTTTACTACAGGAAGTAGTATTTAAATATTTATAGACTGTCCCCTAAACAAAAATAACGCTGCACTTTCAGAGGAATAACTCCATCTTTATAAAAAAAAATTTTTCTGTGTGAATGGATCAGCATTTGTGAAAAAGTCATAAATCATAGCCTTGCAGAAGTTTTTAATTTGTGAGAATTTTTTTTTTAAAGATGTCTGTTGTCTTTCTCAGGGTGGATGTAACATTTATTTGGTGAATCCTGTTTTATGTTGTCAAATCGAATGTGATTATAAAGTGTGAACTATTTTGTGTGTATTGTATGGCTTTCTATTTCTAATATACATACAGCACTGGATGCTATATAGTCTAAGAACACTCCATCCGAAGAAAGAACACCTTAAGCATATTTGATCAGAAGGCAAAATACCCTATGAACATGCAATCTGAAGAGAGAGTGCCCTAAGAACATGAAATCCTAAAAGAGAATACCCTAAGAACATTTTATCCCAAGAGAGAATTCCTCTAAGAACGTTCGATCCTAAGAGAGAACAGCCTAAGGGCGTTCGATCCTGGGGGTAGAGTAGCCCCAGGGCGTTCGATCCTGGGGGTAGAGTAGCCCCAGGGCGTTCGATCCTGGGGGTAGAGTAGCCCCAGGGCGTTCGATCCTGGGGGTAGAGTAGCCCCAAGACGTTCGATCCTGGGGGTAGAGTAGCCCCAAGACGTTCGATTTTACCCCATTTACACAACAGCCTCAGCTTTATACATTGTGCAAACATTTCCTAAAACTAATAAGCAAATGTTGGTTAATTCACACATGAGCGTTGCTAGATGAAAAGCTCCTAAAATTAATGGATGACTCTTAACAGTCTGCAAGATGCAATGTTGAACACACATAATGTCTGTGTGGCTCCCCACATCTCTACAAACCACTTAGTCATACAGAAAGAAAGATGAAAGTGACATACCATTGTTCCCTACAGACATTGATCTGCATTCCAGTCACTAGATGGCGATGTGCATACAGAAAGTATTTTATCTACAGCAGTAGTAGGAAAGATGGATACTTCGTAGAGATGCTGGAACTCCCTTCATCTGCCTGGAAAAAAAGCCCCAACATCTATATTAGAGTTGTCAGGCTTACCGAAGAAGCTTGAGACTTGGGCAGATCTCAGCAGGTACAAACACTTTTTGAGCACAAGGATCGATCTATCCCTTCCCTTCTCTACTAATTAATCTGCTGTTGTTGCCTGTGTTTCCACAGGAGAGATTCTTTTCCCTTACAATCCTGGCGACACAACAGGAAGTGAAGACAAATCTTCCCAATAGCTGATAATTAAAACCTGATCGAGGTTCCAGCCCTTCTCATTCTATCAGGAGTTAAAAAAAAGTCACTACTTTAAAGCGACCTTCAACCATGGATTGATCTTTCTCTCTTCTTCCTCCCCCGCTCCCTCTTAACCATTTGCAGACAATTTGCTGTGTTGTTTTTTTAAAAATTATTATTATACTTTTTTTTTCTGTGCGGCTTGCCACGTCCTGATTTCTAGTCTAGATGAGGATGACATATGACCAGCCACACTTACCAGTAGGCAGTGTTTCAGTGGAAACAACTATTGCCCAACTTCAGTCCCGCACATGGGAAGATAGGCCGCAGGTCTCTACCAGGTATTTGGGAACTGGCAGAGACTTTGTAGCATGCCTGGGCAAACGTACAATCACGCACAGACACAGGTCTCTGCCCAGTCCCAAATACCTGGTAGAGACTTCTAGCTTGCCTGCGCATGTGCGGAATCTTGCTGCGCGCATGCAGCTGAAAAACCAAGAAGAAACAGGAGTTTCAAGTTGGCAGCGCAGAAGCAGAGTTGTGCAAGGAGAACATTGGCTGCAAGGAAGACCACGCTGGACCCCATGATAGTAGTAAGCATGTTGTTTTTTTGTTATGCAGGTTAAATTATTTGAAGAATGAAGTTTAGTTTTGCCTTGGTAGGGTGAAGCTTCTCTTTTTAATTACTATTTTTTTGTAAATTTATTTGCAGGAAATATTTTCCCCCGACAGCTATGTCTAAAAATAAACTCTGCTCTGGGCAAATTCTTTACTCACTTGTGCTTGGGTAAAAAAAATGAACAGAAAAGCTTCAAATTAATGGCGTGCACTATCGCAATGCACGTTCATGCACATGCGTTTAAGGTTCCAGAAAAATGCACACCACAGCGCTCAGCAGTCTCCCAATGATATTCTCCACCAACAATCGTTTGCAGGCTGCTGTCATCAAAAGGCCACTGGGAAGTATTCCTCACAAAACAAACAAACAGACAATGCCTTGTAATACAGTTTATTAGTCAATGAACATACAAGCTGACATAAAAAAAACTACTCGCATGGTAATCACTGAATGAATGGTACCGGGCAGACCCCACACAAAGCTGCCTTGCTAGTGGACGCGTTTCGGGGAATATACCCCCTTCCTCAGAACATGCGTTTAAAGCACCACAGTGGACTGGGTTGGTGGCAATGAGGACTTCACCAATTTTAATTCATGATTTTCAGCAGCAGCCGGCGAAGGAGCTTTCCTGATGGCTTCAGAGTTGTTTACTGTCTTGTTTTCCCTTTAATCTGCTTTTTTTCCCCTGATTTCCATTTTAAAGTGACACTAAACTTAGGAGTTCAGCCTTAATAATTGCATTCAAGTACCTTACCTAATACACAAAAAAGATACATTTTTGTTATCACTCAGCTGTAGATCCTTGAAATCATCTCTGAAGCGGTGCCGACCCGCGCCTTGCTTCTGGAGGGTGGCTACTTTTGTTCCCCATGGTCCCTGTGTGTGTTGTAGAGTAGTCACCGCTCCAAGCTCACTCCTGTGATGGACTACAGTCTCATGTTTAGTGTACTCATTTGTATTGAGATTGTAGTCCATCACAGGAGTGAGCTTGGAGCGGTGACTACTCTACAACACACACAGGGACCATGGGGAACAAAAGTAGCCACCCTCCAGAAGGAAGGACAGTGTCAGCACCAATTCAGAGATGATTTGAGGATCTACAGCTGAGTGATACAAAATAAGATACATTTCTGTTAATAGTTAAACCTTAAAAATTGTCTAGTGTCACTTAAAGATCATGGCTTTCTATTTCAAACTTTGATACGTTGCAGAACAAGAAGCTAGCAGGATAACTGGCTGATGTAAAGTTAAATATTGTGCTAAGCACACAAAAGTACTCACAGGTGACCAGCCGCAGGCCATTCATCCCAAGGGATGCTGGAGACCTAATGGACAATTGGCCTATTATTGGGCATATCCGATCCTGATCTCTATACTTCTTCCATTTCAGTGACTCGCATAGTATTTAAAGATGAAGGCTTTAGAAACCACTCCACCCCCCGCCCTTCCTGCGCTTGCCCCCCTTCTCCAATCCAAGTATACTTTTTTTTGGCAATGGTCTTTTGGTGACATGTGCTCTGTGCTGCAGTATTGTGAGCCAAGCCTGCAACCCAAGAGGTGGGTTCATGACAACCTGGGCTGCAAGGAAGTGGGTTGAATGACGTTGCTCACTGTTTAAATTATATGGGCATCTTGTTGCTGAAAAGGCGTGCTGCAGGGAACAAGCTGCTTTTTTAAAGTGTTCTTCTTAACTGTGATGGACTGCAAATATTTGTTTTCCTTTTCTAAAGCTTGAGTAGATTTAGGTATGACAGCCAGGCACCTTTCACTTTTAGAAGCTCATGTATTCTTAAAGATGTCCTTTAAAAAACTGGGACCACCGTGTTATGTACAGGGCAAGATCTAATATTTATTTGTATGTGAATTGTAAAGGAACATAAACTGCCAGACAATAGCTTCCCAAGAACGCAGGTTATTATGAATTTGTATTTGAATACCGCCCACAATGTACTTCCCTATTTAGGATCGTTTTACAGACCTGATTATTTTCTCTGCCTATTGTTAGCCTGAAATAATATTTCTTTGTGAGTCAAACAATGTGTGACGTTGACAGATATGACCTTAAAGGAAAACTCTCATGAGGAGCGCAGAGGCCAACATTGTTGAACTTCTGAAAATTCTACAGGCCCGGCTGTCATGCTTGACCCACGTGCTTATTTACTT